ATCAGCACAGTGACCCCGACCATCTCCATGAGACCAAAACCCACGGCGTTCCTTTGAATTTCGGGCTTCTTGATGGGCGTCTCATGGGGCAGCCGGGCCTGCGATCAGCGCAACTTGGGCATGTGCAACAAACGCCTCTGTAGAGCTTTCGACCCTCGATGATGGCCCTTTTGATGCCGCGCGTGACCATCTTATCTTGTGACTTGGTAGGTCCCGCCTTTGAACGCGTGGCATTGCCTGCATCATCTCGAATCTCGTTGACCTGGCGAAGAGAACACCAGTGCCGGGTTCAATTATCATTCCAACCCTGTTCCAACCAGTATTGCGTCTGGTCTGCGGGTATGTATTGACGAGCCAATCCAGCTTCAGCGTGGCCTTTCAGACGCTGTATGTCACCTCCTGGATATCCCCCTCCTCGACGCTGGTCATCTCGAGGCGGGTTTCCCCGCAGACGATCCCTCCTCTGGGGGAAGGCGGCCCAGTCGCCTGCCATGGCGGTGCCCACGGGGCTTCCGCATCAGGAGGATGAGGACGCTGAACGCCGCTCGAACGAGCACTGCTAGAGCGGGCTCGCATACGATCTGGCGAGTGGCTGGGGGCCCGACCGCGACGCATCATGCGGCCATCGTCTCCCCGTTCGTCCTCCTCGCCCACTGGGGAGAGACCTGGATCGTCACGATAACTCTTTTTCACCCAGGCTTGGCGACTTGGCGATCGCCTCTGGCGGCTGGCGGATCGATCCGATGCAACAAAATCATGCTGAAATTCATTACGACCAAGCTGATATTGCATACGCTCAGATAGATCACCAGCGTCGCGCGAGTTTCCCCGCAGAGGATCACAATCGATTAATGCCACGTTTGTCGGATCTCCACTCACCCGAGGATACAGCATCGCATGTATTTCCTCATCTGTTGCAAGAATGGTAAAGTCTGAGCACGCGGGCGCCCCCGCCATGCCAAGGCCACCTTCGACGGGCACGTGGAAGTTCTAGACAAACTCGTGATCTGCAGGTTGCCCCGCGATGGGCACACCCAGCCATTCTGCCAAGTCGATGTCGTCGCGGCCAGCGAACACCTCCTCGAGCAGCTCGTCGGCGCAATTCTCGAGGGCCATGCTGGCACTTAGACACCTGGCAGCCATGAAATGAACAATTGTGGCTGAGCCGTCGGCAGGGTCGGCTAAGAGTGGCTCCAAATCAACACACTGCATGTCGGAGTCCGTTTGAGCCAGATGCATTGACGGACCCCTGCCTCTTCCATCACCTTGGGGGCATTCGCGTCGGAAATGTTGCGCGCTGTGGCATGTGTCGCACTCCATAGATATACCGGTGGCATCCTTTGGGTGTCCTCGTCGTCCTTCACCGTTGCCTGATGCATGTCTGCGGTTTCTGCCAGCACCTAAAAGCATTTCTTTTTATTGAGGTTCAGTAAGAGACGCTAGGAATGCTAGTATGCCTCCCTCTACCATGTAATCGCCGACGCTTACTTGCCTTTTACGTTAAGTGACCGTCGTACCGTACGTCTTACCTATCGGGCCGGTTTCCCCACGAACCTCTGCCAACGACGCTGGTGTTTTTGGTAGCCCAAAAATAGCAATTCAGCTTGTTGCTCTTCATTAAGATATGTAGGCATATCAGAATAATCCAGGGATAGTGGGGGCCGCGTCAGGCGGCCCCCTAGGTCTGGCCGAAGAGTCTTGCGACCCCGAGGCCGTTCCACCATTCTGAGCCAACAATGTAGTCGTCTCACTTGACTGTGGATCATCGTTCCAGACATTGTTGGCGGGTTGCCCTGCGTTGGCCTCCACGTGGAAGGTCTCGGTTCGGTGACCGCGGCTAAAGATGCCACCAATATTGCCAGGGGTCCTCTCAGCTATGTGAGCATATGACCTCACGCTTTCAAGTAGAGCGTCAAATGGTTTGTTGGCCCCTCGGCATGCGGTAGTCAGGGGCTGCAAGGGTTGTTGTGCACGTGATGTCCCCACTCCAAGAGCTCTGAAGAGAATTACCTTTAGGATTTGGAAGTTGGAAATATTGGAGCCGGATGTTTCAGTTTCGTAACGAGCTATCTCGAATCGTGCTAACGTCTGGTCGATACGTTCACCCGCATGGACTCGAAAGTCAATAAGAGCCGTACCAGAGTTGAGTTGGCGTTCCTCTTCTAGGTTCTCGAACTTCGTGTTTAAGAAGAACATAATGTAGGTGGCGCCGTCGGTGTGGCGACCGCCTAAATTAACGCCAAAATTCATAACTGCTGGGGGGACTCTCATGGCTATGGTCCGTGCGAGACCTCCCAAGCCTCGCTGCAATGCTGCGGCTTGCTGGGAGGGCGTCATATGGCCTGTAGTCACATTGATCCAGGCATGTACTTCGCGGACGAATTCGCGAAAAGGTACTTGACCGGCGGGGTCCCAATGGGGGCCGGTCGTTCTTGCGTCGTCTCCGCCTCGCATATGTCCTACCGCACACCCAATAGCGACCCATATGAGCCCAAAGATAATAGCCCCAATCCAATGGCCTCGTAGGTCGTAGTCGGATGTAGTCGATCGGGACTTATGCTGTTTAGTCGTAAGTCTGCGCGGGGTCGGAGGCGGCAGTATGTCGTAGCTCATGTTTCCATGCATTATATATTTGAAGAAATTTCCAAATGGAGTAGGTGGGTGGACTTCAGGAGTGTAGTAGCGCAGGGATGTAATATGCGAGTGAGAGACATCCGCTTGGACAGAAGTATCGCTGCAAGTTACCTTGCGGTACTGCGTACTTATAGACACTCCTCCGCGCAACCCCCCGCACCCTGATGTTCCACCATATCCGTAGTCCACCAGATAGTGCCGTGGATGGTGACGAGTAGAGCAAGAGCTGACCACCATAGGCCAGCTCCGCTACCAAGTTTGCAAGGGGCTGGAAGGCCCAGCCAACAGCTTCGCCTCAGGCGACGCCAAGCTCCCGCTCTGTTGTACCGTAGTAACGATAGTCCCAGTATGAGAGGAGATGCCATTTCAAGCAATAGGAAGATCCTCTTGGTCTCGATAGCGATTGTGTGCCTCGCAATGAGGCACAGTCATATTTGGGCGGCCGGCCGCTTGAGCCGACGCGGCCGCGGGCGCACGCTCGCTTCCACTCCTTACGTCCCTCAGCTCGCTTTAGAGCTCCTCTCCTGCAGGCAATGCGCGTCCTCGTCCAGGTACGCGGCCTCAACATGGCCCAAAAGGCCTCCAAGATGCCCCAAGAAGCCTCGAAGATGCCTCCCAGAAGGACCCTGAGAGGCACAAGTCATTGATGTTCGTTCGATGTTTAAAATATGTTGGTGTTTTCGCCTTGCTTCCTTTCCAAAGCTCGCAGACGGCCCGAGGTCCCCAGTACCACCTCAGGACTGCCCACGAAGCCTCCCAGAGGCCCCACGACAGCCCACGAACGCCCCAAGACGGTCCAGGAGGCGCCCGAAACGGCCCAAGACGGCCCCATAACGGCCCCAAAATTGGCTCAAGAGAAGGAACACGAACCGAAAATCCTAGCGTTCCGCCCCAAAGGGCCCCCAGGAGGCCCCAAGAGGCACCCCAGAGACCCCAAGAGGCTCCAAGAGGCCCCCAAGGGGCCCAACAGTGACCCCACGAGGCTCCAAACTGCCCCCAAGAGGCTTCAAAACTGCATCCAAGAGGCCCCGAAAGGTCCCCCACGAAATCCCAACGAACATCGAGTAAGCTTCATGACCACGACCAACAGAGGTGCAACAGAGAATCAGGAGTCCAGGGTGCGAGGCTAAGACCTAGATGTCTCACCTGAACCCTTCCTGCCGTGCTCGGAGAAGGCACCCCGACTGCAAACGACTCAAACATACGTCGCTCAATACGGTCGGCGGCAGAGGCGGCAGCCTTCAAATAGAACCAGATCAGAAGAGGATTGGCCTGAAGGGCGATTCGAACCACGACTGCTGCTTGATCTAATGCAACCTATCATCGGAGATACGAACTTAGCATGGCTCACGGAGGTCGGAGATCTCGGAAGAAGTACAAGATCCACGTCTGCCCCCTCCCCCTTTCCGCACGCTGAGCTGCACAGGTTAAACCAGCCAAGTCAAGAATCTCCTCATCAACCCCCTTTTACCTACCTCGCGAATGACATGGTAGTCAAACACCGCTGCGTGGCCCCTGGTTGAACCACAAGTCTGTGCCGGCGAATCATCTACCTGCGTTAGCATTGTCGGGTCCCTCAGGTGATCTACCACATCTGGCTCCCGAGGACTCACTGCGTCAACTGGCGACAAAGATTCCTCAATGCGGACGGGGTGCCTGAAGGATGGATGAACTACCCCCTGGCATAGCTCTCCTAACATCGTGCCACGATCTTCGACTAAGCCACCGGAGAAACCGACAGCCTCGCTCGCAGCATTGCGTGACTGTGGTTTCAATAATGAACTCAACGAGCTAAACTATGAATCGATGAGTACGGATCACCCTCGATCAACATTCATCTCTCTCAAGTTTCTATACCATGTTGAACAATGGGGATCTGGATTTCGCATGTTAATTAAAGGCACTCCAATTGGCACCAAAGGTTGTATATCGCGGCGTGGCTGATTCACTAAGAATCACTTGATCTACCTTCTCACTGGTTGGAACGCTCATGGACGGCATGGCACAACGATGTTATCCGTTAAGCTGAAGATACGATAGGTGTGTCGGTGTGCCTGACCCAAAGAGGAGAGGAGGGCGCTCGCACCTTTTGCACCTCGCAACTCAAACCGCTGCGGCCAACGCGGGGATCACCAGCGCCGGTGTCCGGTAAGGTCGGCGGCGGCGGCGGGCGACGGCAGGGACGGAGCCATATAAACTGGAGGAGGAGGAGGAGGAGGAGGAGGAGAAAGGGGAGGAGGGCGAGGAGGAGGAAAAGAAGGAGGCCGCTGTGCCCCCCCCCCCGCCCGCGGCTCCCAGGGCTCGCGCCCCCCGGCGCCCGCAGCAAACCACGGCCAGCCAGGGCGAGTATCAAAGGCCGCCAGACGCTACTCCTGGCGCGGAAGCCGCTGGCCCCCCGGGGGGTCCCCCTCCTCCTCCGCCTCGTCCTCCTCCGCCTCGTCCGCCTCCACCTCCTCCTCCTCCTCCTCCTCCTCCTCCTCCTCCTCCTCCTCGTCCACCTACTCCTCCTCTTTCTCCTCCCACTCCCTACGCTCTCCTCCTGCACCTCCTACACGCCCATCCTTGCCGCCAAGCGCCGGTGCGACAGTGTGGCGGGATGGTCGGCATGCATGGTTTCAAGACGGTCCAAGAAGCCTCCGAGACGCCCCAATAGAGCCTCAAGAGCCTCCCCAAGAGGGCCCCGAGAGGCCCAAACTCCTGAGCTCACATTGTTTGTCAATGATGTTGAGGTCCTCGGAGTTTCAAGCTTCCGACGCTCCAATGCGGCCCCCAGGAGGGCCCCAACGCGGCCCAAGAGGGCCCCAAGAGCCCAAGATAGGCCCAGAGGCGCATAAGACGGAAGAGGGCCCGAAGAAATCCCCAAGAGGGCGAACACAAACCGAGAACCCGAGCCGTCCGCCGCAAGGCCCCAAGGAGGTCCCAATGAGGCCCCAGGCTGCCCCCAAGAGGCCGCTAAGAGGCCCCAAAAGACACCCCGAAGACCCCGAGGGCGCCCCAAGAGGCCCCAAAACCATACCCAAGAGGTCTCAAAACGGCCCCCAAGACGCCCCCGACCGCCATATCCCAACGAACCTCCGAGAGGCCGACCATCCGCGTACTGTTTGCTTACGCACAGGGGTGGGCCGTGCAAATTGTCCTACATTACCTGGCACTCCAACTGTCTGTGTTTCACACATGGTAATCTCGCTGCAGCATGGGCCTCATTTTCGGATCAACGCTGTGCTCCCGTCGTTCAGGATGGCGCTCTCGCCCCAACGTGGCCCAAGCTTCTGGATCCCTCGGGTCTCGCGGGTCTCGCAAGTCTCGCAGGCCCCTTAGGTACCACAAGGCCCACAGGTGTGGCCGGCTGTCCCCAGGCCCCACAGGTACTACAGGTCTGACAAGTCCTACAGGTCCCACAGGTGCCGCAGGTCTCGCAGGTCCCACAGGTCCGACAGGTCAGATACCACAAGTCCCACAAGTTCCACAAGGCCCACATGTCTCGCAGGTCTCACAAGGCCCACAATTCCCACAGGTCCCACAGGCCCCACACGTGTCGCAGGTCTCACAGGCCCCGAAGGCCACAGAAATCCCCCAAAGTCCCGCAGGCCCCGCAGGCCCCACAGATCCACAATTCACTGCTGCCCCAAAAGTCCCACATATCCCACCACATACAGAAGGCCCACAGGTTCAGCAGGTCCAACAGATCGCTGAAGTCCCACAGTTCCCACCTGCCCCACAGGTAGCCTTTGCTGCTATGAACGCGCGTTGCTAAGATAATGGAGTTCGAGGTCGGCTATGACACGCGTCCGCCGATGTAGACAAAATGAGCGCAATGGGAAGGGATGGGAGGGAGGGATCGGCTGACAAATGTGGCGCGAATGCATTTGGATTGCCTCTTTTATCAAGACTATGTTCTCCTATATCGTTTCTACACTTGCACAATGCTTGCTATTTTCTTCTTTCCCATGATGACGTACGGAAGATATCCGGCCCCCCCCCCCGCGTTTGGCTTCTTAAACTGAAGATTCCCGGGAACTGGGCTTTCGCTTTCAGTTGTTTCAAAATGTTGTTCCCGCTGGAGCGTTGGCCTCATTTTCGGGCTTCCGCTCGTTCCGAATAGTGTTACCGTTGCAGCGGTGGCCTCATTGATGCGATTCCGTTCGTTCCGAATCGTGTTCCCGCTGCGGCGTTGGTGCCAATATTTCCAATGCCATGCCACGGCATGGTTCTCTGTCCTTCCAAATCGGCCCCGCAATTTAGAAAACGCCCCCCCCCCCCAAAAAAAAACATCGGAAGCGACTACGCATTCGGAGTCGATTCGTTGATTTTCTGGGCCGCGAAAGACCCCCCCACACACACATTTGGGGCGTCGCCACGCCATGCTATGTCATGCTATATACGCGTTGATACTCAACACCATACTATGCCATGTAATGGTATGCCATGCTGCGACATCCGACTGTGCGAAAAAAAGAGAAGAAGAGATCTACGGCATGGTAAGGACTGGGAGGGAAGGGAAGGACGTCCGATGTGACGCGAGCGAGTTTGAAAGGAGCTTGGGAGGCCCAACCAGATGCTTCGCCAAAGGCGAAGCCCATATCCAACTCTGTTGTACCGTAGTAACGATAATCTCATGAGCAGGAGTGAGTCGCGGGAGCGACGAGCCATGTGAAGCGAAGATGTTTTCGGTCTCGATGGCGCAAACGCGCCGCGGACAAACGCTCGCCACCTCTCGCCTTTGCCTTACCTCCTTTCTAGAGTCGGGGGGGAAGGGGCGCAGCGTGAGTCCGCCGCCAGCTATACAGCAATACACTATACTACGTAAGGCAGGCAGCAGCAAGCGGGTTCAACAATGGCAGGTTGACCCGCATGCAAGTTACCTTGCAGGCAAGTTACCCTGAATGCAACTACTCCGCAGGCGGTTCAAATGTTTTTGTCTGGCCAGCCATGTATGGAGTGTCGTTTTAGGTCATGCTTGAAGGATCGCGCCCCTCCCATGACTTGTAGGAGCATGTCTCTGTCGATGCTCCCCTTGGCGTGGCCATCCACCGTCATATCGCGAGTGTCATACCACTGCACACAGTGCACGATACCTCGTTCCATCACTTGTCGCATCCATCTGATGTGTCCCAGGAGTGCACACCCAGTCGGCTTCTTCAGGTCTTGGTTTGACAAGGACTTGAAGACATATTCTTCATCGATGGTCATGGTGGCCTTGATGCACAGGCCGCCCATCTCAGGCATATCCTTCAGTTGAGCGGGTGTCAGCGGACCTGCGTGGCGTTCGTGCAGAGCGACGCTGGTGGGATAGCAGTCATCCAAGTTGTAGGCCGCTGCAAGTGTTTCCGCTGCGTAGCTCGAGCGGACCGGCAAGCGGTGAGACTTGCAGTGCGCGTCGACAAGATGGGCGACGGGCTTACCGGCATGCGCGTGTCCACGCCGTAGCAGGGCGGCCCCGCGAATGCCGTGGCCTTCGACCTCGCCCTCGGCATCTCCGCTCAGAAACCAGCAGCCGGAGTCGCTGCGTAGGTCGACCTCGCCCGTTGGAGCCCTCGCCGAATAGACGATCCAGGCCTGCAACTTCATGCAAATCGCGCTCAGTCGCCGCACTTGCATGTCGGCGGTTTCTTGGACACGCCGCAGTGATGCAGCATATACCATTCACCACACTTGCGCGATAAGGGCGTAAGCCGAGGCGCCTCTGAGGCTGACCTACACGTCGGCAAATACATTCGATGCCTTGGCCTCAGCGCCTGCGCCCGTGAGTTCACGATGCTGGGTAGCACGGAGCTGCTTTATGTGTTCGCATTGGTTGAGTGCGACATGTCCGTCGCCATCCTTCGCGTATCTGACGGCACAGTTGGTACATGTGTGCTTGTTGAGTTTACACGTACCAGAAGTAGCCTCAACACACTTGACATACTTGTCGGTAGTGTCCTCAGTGCCGGTCATGTTTATGCCATCTACATGCCTCGCCGTGAGGAGGTCAGAGCTTGCCTCGAACTCTTCGACGTCGAATGCGGGTTCAAGACCACACCCCCCCCCCACGTGGTTTTCCTGAGCTTCAGTGAGAAGGCTCCTGGTGCATCCTTGATGCCAGCGCCTGGTTTGAGGCGCTGTAAACGGTGTCTCGACTCATCGTAGCGCTCAAATCCTGGGAAAGGCCTGCGCGCAGATGCTGACCCACGTGACATTGCGAAGCACGCCACGCGCCCCATTTCACCGCTTGCCTCAGCGAGTTCCTGATGGGTGAGTCCCTTCAGGAAAGCCATGCCGATATCGAGGGAAGCGGTGATCCGCTGCTTTCTGCAGGCTGCCGCGCAGGCGGGCAGTCGCTGGTTGACCGCCGCGCCGATCCTGCGAACGTCTCCGCGTCGAAGGTTTCGAGGCCCATGAATTTCAGAAGTACCAAGCGTAGTCTGATGGCGCGCTCCATGTCGCTCTCCTCGTGCTTGACGAATTTCCATGTGTATACGTATCTCGAAGTTCCTGGTGTTTGACGACTTGGATACACTTTGATATTCGAAGCACTTGCCGTAAAACCATGTCTTGACTTCAGTATAGAGTGCCTTCGACTCCATGAAGGGATTCCCCTGGATATCACCCTTCGTAAGAAGGTCGTCGTCCTTGACGACTGCACATCGTCTAGCTGCAGCGGTCACATATACTCGCAAAGTGGTCGCACGGACGAAACCCACTATCCTGTGACGTTGTTCGGATGAGACTACAGTTGGCATGTCTGCTGCGACGCAGAATTCTACGCAATGTTCGTGCTCCTCAGAATACGATCCGTAACTGTCGTCTTCGTCCGTGGAGCACAATTGGACATGATATTTCCCAGTTGCGTCTATGTTGTCAGTGATCATCTGCGTGGGTACAATATGGAACTCGTATGTTGGAATTGCCTCCAATAGTCCTCTGTCGTCTTGTCGTTCTGTGCACCGCACTTCCATAATGTCTGCCTCGAAGTCCGCCTCTGATTCCTCATAAACGGTGGGAAACCGTCCGTCTTCCTGCGGTAGCTCGATTTCTGTGCCCCCCCTGGCGTCGTTACCTTGCATTGGCACGCCGGCCACTTCTTCGAACTTCGTCATGTCTTGATCGAAGTCCGCTTGGGGTTTGGCGGGCTTCAGACACTGGATGGTCCTTGAACGTGCTGATCCAGTTATGTCTTGAGGCAATGAAGAGCTAAGTGTACCTTAGGAGATAATCGGCTCGCGCTCGCCATCTGGAGAACTCCCATTTTGGTCGGGAGGTATCCGGATGTCATGGCAGGTCGCCCCGCAGGTACAGCGGCTATAAAGGCCAACACAATCCACAATGCTGAGTTGTCCAAGCCAATCACTCGAGCGATCAAAGCCTCATTGTATAGCGAATGTCGTGCATCACC